TTTTGGGGGGGGGCAGAACTGGGGATTGAACTCAGGCCCTTTTACTCTACTGAGCCATCTCCCAGGCCCCGTAAAAACTTTTTTGAGGTAGGGTCTCGCTATGTACGCCAGGCAAGCTTGAACTGACCGTGATCCTCCTTGCTCAGCCTCCAAGTGTTGGGGTTACAGGCGTGCATACCCAGCTTGCAAAAAATAAGTTTTGTCTGTGGTGTCAAACCTGTTTCTTTTCTTACCAAGACATCAATTTTACCCAATCCCCAGGTTAGGAATTTGTTTCCAACATTAAGTTCAGAATTAGCTGTTGGAAACTCAAATTCATTTCCCTAGAGAAACTGTATCATGAAGTGGTAGTTAGGTCTGCTGCTAGTTTACAAAGGAGCCAACTAAACCTGTCAGCACACAGAGTTAGTTCCAAGATAACAAACGTAAATCAGAGCCAAATTCTCAATGCTAAAGAGGTTGCTTCCCTAGTATTCTGACTTGAGAAGTCAGCCAAAGTCACAAACCTTCCTTCTTAGCTTTGGTTCTGAAGACCTCAACTCAGGGCTACTTATGCCCACACCCGAGCCAGCCGCTAGCTGCTGCTTGCTTTGCGCACACCAGGCCCTGCCACGGGAGTGAGCTCAGGCGAACAGCAACGGCAGGCTACTGTTTCTTAACTATACCAACACTGAAGAATGAAAAGGACAGGTGGAATTAGGCCGTGCGGGCTGGGACGCAGCTCCGTGATGCAGTACTTGTTTGGGCACACAAGGCTGTGGGTGAAACAAAGCCCCAGTACTGCTACATATATTTTATATATTCCTGGGGTGTACATGGTAGATTATTCATATAGTTTCTCCCACATATAATTTTCACTTCATCACTGATAAGGTCGGACATGACACTTCATTTAGGCAGTGGAATGAAAGTGAATAAGCAGTGCTTATCTCTCAGACTCAAGCGCATGGCCTTTGCACTGCGCTGTACCTGCCCTTTGAATATTTTTTTGAGACAGGGTCTGCAAGGTCACTAGGTTGCCCTGGCTGGGATTAGAGGTGCACACCACCAGCCCAGCTGCCAGTTTCTTTTTAGGTAAGCTCTAAGTGAGGGTTTATAAATTGCGGATTCTGTGTTTTGCATTCTGGGTAATCCCAAATTCAACTTCTTGTTAAAATTAAGTCACATACATAGTTGGTGAAAGAAAAGGATTCAAATTAACCTTGGATTTTTAAAGTAACTCCTCTCAGTTGGGTGTGGTGGTACAAGCCTGTAACCCTAACACTTGGGAGGCTAAAAGAGGACTGCTGTGAGTTCGAGGCCAGCCCAAACTACAAAGGGAGACAGTCTCAAAAAACAGAACAAAACAAAAATAAAATTTCGTCTAGCTCTGTAGCTTACATAACCATTTTATTTTAAATACAAGTCATTTCACAGAAATATATATATATTTTTTTTTGGGCGGAATTGAGGATTGAACTCAGATCTTTGCATTTGCCAGTCAAGTTCTTATCCTACTAAGCCATCTCCCTGGACCACAGAAATATTCTGACACTGGCAAAAAAGAGTAAGAAAAGATAGATTAGAATAACTCTTCAGGGGCCAGGGAGATGGCTCAGTGGAATAAGCACTTCCCTGGCAAGCACAAGGGCCTGACTTCAATCCCCAGTTCTGAAAAAAAAAAAAAAAAAAATCACTCTTCAGGACACAGTATAATAAGAAATACTATGTTTTTAATATTATATACAAAAATAGGAGAAAATGAAACAGTCAACAAAGTCATATGGACAATTAAGAAAAAAAAGCTACTAAATTAACTACTTAAGTCTAATTATTTAAATATAGAATGACCAAAAATTGCATTTTAAATTAATTTTTGTAAGAACAGAAAATATAAAAATAATTTCATCAAATGTATCCAATATTTTTTCTGTGTACTGCATACTTTAAAACACTCAATACATACCACATTATAATCTGGACAGCAGCATCGAGGCTTCTTACTTTGTATCACTGTGTTGGTCCTTTTCTCTGTGGGTGGTATGATTTCAATAAAATGTCTATTTACTAAAGGTAATGGTGAAGATGTTGATGTTCCCTATTCTGGTTGGCATTCCACTATCCTATAATTTTCAATTGTCTGATTTATTAGACCTGATTTAAAGTGTAAATGACTTTTTTTTTTCTTTGTATTTTAGGGAAGGGTTTATTGGGTGTTCAGGGTCTCACTACTAGATTGGACTTGTAGTGATTCACCTGTTTACAGCCTCCCAAGCGCTGAGGTTATAGGCGCATGGCACCTCACCCAGTCTGTTGCCATCTCAGCACACCCCGTGGATTGGGCCAGCACAGAATCGAACCCCTGGCCCTTGTGCAGGCTTGCAGGCTCTTTAATCTACTGAGCTATTTGGCTGGTGTTATGGTTTGTGTATAGGTGTCCCCCCAAAGCCTCGTGCAGTCTTGGGGTGGCTTCAGGAGATTGTGTTTGATTACTGTGGGTGTGGATGCTGCACCTGCCCTGGGGCAGGTAATTTGCATTACAATGTAAGGTGGGAAGAGAAGCTAGCTGCTTGAGCTGCTGCTACCCCTCCCTTGTGCTCTTGCTCTTTGCCTCCACCATGAAAGGTTGCTTTCTGCTCTGTGCTGCTCTGCGTTGGACCCAGCTGAGTATGGACTGAAACCTCCAGTAACTGTGAGCTAAATAAACCTTTCCTTCCTTCATTTTGAGTGTCAGGTATTTGTCCCAGCAATGAGAGAATAGTAACTAAGACAGGAGGCCAGTGTCTTTTTTTTTTTTTAATTTTATTTGTGTGTGGGGGGGGTGGCCAGCTCAGCCCACCAGGGGGCGGGGCTGGCTGGCCTGTGGTGCTGGGGGACTGAACCACGGTCCCTGTGCTTTGTCAAGCTTGTTCTAAGTAGGTGGTTTAGACCACTGAGCCATCTCACCAGCCCCTGTGTGTTTTTGAGAAAGTGTTTTGCTATGCATCTCAGGATGCCCTTGAGCTCATTTTGTAGCCCAGACTGTTTCAAACCTGCAATGATCCTCCTGCCTCAGCCTCTTGAGTGCTGGGAAAAGAGGCGTGCACTACCATGCTTGGCTGTAACTGACTTTTTCAACTCTTTTGTTTTGGATAAATAACAAATGAGTACCATACCGTTTATTCCAGAAGGTGCATAAATATTTTATAATCATTTTCCCCCTTGTTTTTTGATTATATGGTAGCTTTTTAGATGCTTGAAACTGTCAATCCCATGCACAGAATTATTATAATTATGGGTCACTGTTACAATTCTTATTTTTTATTTATTTATTTTTTTTTAAAATTTTTTTATTTTAACATTTAGTGTGTGTGTGTGTGTGTGTGTGTGTGTGTGTGTGTGTGGCCAGCTCAGCCCACCAGGGGGCGGGGCTGGCTGGCACGTGGTGCTGGGGGATTGAACCGCAGTCCCTGTGCTTTGCCAAGCTTGTTCCAAGTAGGTGCTTTAGACCACTGAGCCATCTCTCCAGCCCCATGTTACAATTTTTAAAGTTTTACTTTTTCTTTCAAGTTGTATCATTTCTGTATTATGAATAGGTGACAAAAGGGAGTTTTTTGTTTTTTTTTTTGACTTTCCATTTTGTAACACAGACTTTTTTTTAATTTTTCTTCTGATATGCTAACATTTTTCTCTTTTTCAGTTTTTCTTTTGCAGACTTTTGGGCACTTTCTTCCAAATGTGTTCACTTTGTATAGCAAAATATCGGGCTAGGGATAGCTCATTAGCATAAGCGTCTGCCTGTTAAGCATGAGACCCTGAGTTTGATCCCTCAAACAAAACAAAACAAAATGAGTATCACTGAGTTCTGGATTAGTATAAAAACTGTACATAGTGTACTTAAAAACATTGTTATAGCTCTTAGCATAAAATTGTTACTTTTCCAGATTAAGCACAAATTATTTTTTTTTGCAGAACCAGGTATTGAGCTCAGGCCCTTGCACTTGCCAGGGAAGCACTTATTCTACTGAGCCATCTCCCTGGCCCCTAAACACAAATTAGTAAGAGATAATAACTTATTGGATTTCACTAGAAACAAACATCAATGGCAAATATTACATCCTAAATTAAAGAGTATGCAAAGGCCGGCCAGACAGCTCAGAGAATTAAAGCACCTGCTTAGGCAGACACAGGGACTGGAGTTTGATTCCTGACATGCCATGCAGACCCCACCCCTGGGGTGTGCTGAGATAGCAACTGAGACTGGGCATGGCGGCACACCCCTATGATGCCAGCACTTGGGAGGCTGAAAACAAGAGAATCACTATGAGTCCAATCTGTGTGGTGAGACCCTGTACTAATACATTAAAAGATAATAATAAATAAATTAAAAGTATGCAAAAATTAATCACATAAGACAAATATGTATCATTATTTTATTCAAACAAGAATCAACTGGTTAAAATTATACTTGCCCCAGTAAAGCTTGGCTTAATCAGTATGTAAACAAATGCGCTGCCTGGGTGAAATCTGGGGTAAACTGTTAAGTGGTTAAACTACCCAGTATTTTCAATCACATCTAGAAAATACAGAGTGCTATTGTTCAATAAGTCAGTCAAAATTTCAGGTAATAAAGATACTATTATGTACTAATAAAAAATAATAATATGCGCAATGTTGGTCAAAACCCTCCAAGAAGGTAATAGATGGTATACATAAATAAAAAATAGTAACAAATGTTAAAACATTTTATTTTATTTTTTTAAAAATTATTTATTTATTTGTGGGGGGGGCAGCTGAGCCCACCAGGGGGCGGGGCCGGCTGGCATGTGGTGCTGGGGGATTGAACCTTGGTCCCTGGGCTTTGCTAAGCTTGTTCTAAGGAGGTGCTTTAGACCACTGAGCCATCTCACCAGCCCCACAAATGTTAAAACATTTTAAACACACAAATACGATATATACAAAAAAACAAAACAAAAACATATACCAAAACATAAAAAAAAAAAAAAAAAAACTACATCAATAAAATGAGCATTGTAACTTACCGTAATAGGAGTTCTTTTGGAAGCTTTTTATTGATTACAGCTTCATCGCTATTTGAGAACATCTGCAAAAACAAAACAATTGGGTCAAGTGTTACTTAACATTTTACTAAGATCAGTTCAACAGGTTAGAGGTAATTCTCATAGGCGAGAAGTATAAAATTTACATTGTATTTTCAGAGATGATTTGGGAGAAAAATGTCTTTGAGGTATTCAACTAATTCCTTAACTTTTGAGATAAATAATGGTAGTCAGAAGAAATGGAGTATACACCAGCTAAGTGTCAGACAGTTTTCTGTACTGTATTTCATGTTTGTAACATCTTTATTATGGCATTTTATAAATAAGGAACTGAATTAAAAACATTTACCACTCAAGGTCTCATTATTATGGAGTGATCATTTCTAACGTCCCCAAATTTGACTCACATGTACTTTTTCAGGAAGTGTTCAGAAGCCATATTGCTTCATATAACCACTAACATAAATTGTGGAAGCTCTTGTTTTTGTTTTTTTGTTTTTTATTTTGTGGAAGCGGGGATTGAACTCAGGCCTTTGTGCTTGCCAAGCAAGCGCTTATTCTACTGAGCTATCTCCCCGGCCCCTTGTTTTGTTTTGTTTTGTTTTGTTTTTGAGACAGGGTCTCAATATATAGTTCAGGCTAGCTTTGAACTTGATTACCCTGCCTCAGATTCCCAATACTGGGATTACAGGTACACACACCACTGTGCATGCATGTACCATAGCATTCGTGTGTGTGTTTGTGTTCTGAGACAAGATCTTGCTATAGCCCAGGCTGGCTTTAAATTTGGTGATCACTCTGCCTTAACCCCCAGGTGGCACAAGCCGGTAATTACAGCTACCACTTGAGAGGTAGAGGCAAGAGGATCTGAAAATTGAGGCTTTTTAAAAAATGTGGGGAGGGGCTGGTGAGATGGCTCAGTGGTCTAAAGCACCTACTTAGAACAAGCTTAACAAACACAGGGACCGCGGTTCAATCCCCCAGCACCACATGCCAGCCAGCCCGCCCCCTGGTGGGCTGAGCTGGCCACACACACACACACACACAAACACACACACAAATAAATAAATAAAATTTTAAAAAAAAATGTGGGGAATACAGTTTGGTGTATTTTCCAGTACTGCGACAACAAAAATTCACATAGTAATTTTAATAAGCTACCATCCAAGTAAATGGAAAGCCCTAAGGCAGGGAGTATGCCATTATATTCGCCTTATTTCCAGGGTTAAGCGCAGAGCTTGATACATGGTGGGAATTTAATGAATCATTTTTAAAATTTCAAGACAGGGTCTCTAACTTAATAAATCACCCAAGTTTAGCTTATAATTGCAATCTTTCTGGCTCAGTCTCCCAGAGTACTGAATTACTTCAGGGGTGCACCACCATACCCAGTTGAAAAAGCAGATAGCAACACTTGAAATTTGTGTAACAGGATGAAAATTAAGAACAACAAAGTAGGGAAGAGGAGCCTAAAGAAACTAAACCCTGGGCAGGTGGGGTGGTGTGCGTCTGCAATCCCAACACTTAAAGGCTAAAGCAGAAGCATCTCAAGTTTGAAGATTTATCAGTTTTCAAATCCCCTTTGGCATGTTTTGGGGATTAGTTTATTTATTTATTTTTTATTTTTTTAATATTTATTTATTTATTTATTTTTGTGTGTGTGGCCAGCTCAGCCCACCAGGGGGCAGGGCTGGCTGGCATGTGGTGCTGGGGGATCGAACCGCGGTCCCTGATGCTTTGCTAAGCTTGTTCTAAGCAGGTGCCTTAGACCACTGAGCCATCTCACCAGCCCCTGGGGATTAGTTTAGTAACATAATAAATTTAAGTAGTTTGCACACACATAAAACTCAAAATTACCAAGTCCTAAACAGAGTATACAAAGGCTTGACCTATTATTCATAAATGATACACAATTTTTATTTATCACATAGCTGTGTGGAAAGAAAGCTGCATTTTCATTGCAGCTAGAAATGTCCCAAGTATACTGGTCAAATAACATATAAAAGTGATGTGTGCAATTCCAGAAGTGTCTTCAAAGGATAGAGGGAGTGCGGCGCTGCTTTTCTTTCTCAGTGCTCTATTTGTTTCAAGACAGGCTCTTGCTACGTAATTTAAGCTGGCCTTGAACTCAGCATGGAGCCCACCCCAGCCTAGAACTCTGAGCAGTCCTCCTGCTCAGCCTCCTGAGTGCTGGGCTTGCAGGTGCTCATCACCACACCTAGTCCTCATTTATGCTGTTCAGAATGCAGGAAGGACAACCAGAACTCATCTTGTTTCATGAAGTTGAAGGCCACAGCTTTGAAAACAAGCAGAAAACCAGAAAGAGTCTGCAAGTGACTGTAGGGATACACTGTCAGGGAAAACAGCATCTGTATCTCAAGTTTATATGGGAGAAAATAAAACTGCATTATTTTAAAGGGGGGGGAGGGAGAGGGAGAGAGAGATATTGAGAGAGACTGAGAATGTAGTTACACTTACTAATATACTTTATTCTGACTTTAAGAAATTATCTTTTGTTTCACAAGATGAAGAGTTGTACATTAAAAATACACTAGCCATGGCCTAGGGAGATAGCTCAGGAGTCTAAGAACCTGTCTGGCAAGCACAAGGACTGGGGTTTGATTCCTGGTATCCTCATGCTGTGCCAGCCCTGGGTTGTGCCAGCTACTGAAACCAGGCGTGGTGGTGCGTATGTGTAATCCCAGCACTGGGAGGCTGAGACTGGAGGATCACTATGAGTCCAAGCTACATGTGAGCTGTACCAAAGAAATAAACAAATACATCTTTAAAAAAAAAATCAAAAAACATCAGCCAGGCTTGGTGGGTTACACCTGTGATCCCAGAACTCTAGGAGGCTGGGACAGGAGGTTGGCAAGTCCAAACTTAGACTGGACAACTTAGAACACTAGAGAAACTGTGTCAAAAATAAAAAAATAAAATAAACACCTGGAGATACAGCTTTGCAAAAGTCTGGAGTCTAATTCCCAGTATGGGAGTGGTGGGGTACTCACACTTAACCTCACTAAGATGCACACTTTCGGAGTTAGGATAAAATAAGTAAACCCTTTCCTTTAAACAATGGCAAATTTTGGGGCATGTACTTTACAATGATCAGTGGGTTTCCTCCCATATTTTTATATGTGTGAAGACATGTCTCACAACTAAAATCAAAAGTATTTCTGCAGTGTACAAAATAATGTGCATTTTATAATTTGTGGCATCTCTGATTTACTTATGTAATAGTAAAACATAACGAGTGGGAGGAAAATATTCCACGAAGCCTTTCTTAGGCTCTGTAACTGGATGCGACTATTCTTGCTCTTGTGAAGCCCCAAGAGCCCCCAAAGCCCAGCACACTGAGCTGGCTAGTGTCCTCCACATGAGACAGAGGCGAGGGCTGCACGGAGCCAGCCGGTGCCCGACAATTCAGTCAGCAAACAGCAGTGCCTACAGATTGCTGAGTCAATAAATGTTACTTAGACTTTAGGGATCTGCAAGTACTATAATCCCTCTTTTTACTGTAAGTTCCCAGCAAGCTTCAACACACTTTTCATTTTCTATCTATATAGTAGAATGCCTTGGGGGGAAAAAGCACAAAAAGTTTTAATAGTTAACTATTTGCCATTAGGCAAATAAGATCTGAAAGAGATTAGCAAAGCAACAAAGAAGTCAGTTATCACTACAATAACTAAAATATTTGAAGAAGCAAACAAAAATGAACATAAAATCACTTAAAGAAATTTGGAGACTAGCTTTAGGACCCATTTATTTCAGATGATGAAAAAAAAAAAAAAGAAAGAAAGAAAGAAAAAAAGGAAAAAACAAAACCAGTAATTTAGGGCCAGGGAGATGGCTCAGTGGAATGAGTGCTTCCCTGGCAAGCGCAAGGGCCTGAGTTCAATCCCTGGTTCTGAAAAAAAAAAAAAAAAAAAAGAAAAAGAAAGAAAGGAATAAAAAAAACCCAGATGATGTCAGTCATATTAAATATATTTAAAGGGTCTGTGCCATGCAGGCTCTGCTCCCAGGGCATGCTGAGATGGCTAGTGAGACTGGGCGTGGCGGGGCCCGAGCCTGTAATCCCAGCCCTTGGAAGGCTGAGACAGGAGGATCACTATGAGTTCTGCATAGTGAGACCCTGTGCCAAATACGAAATAAATAAATGATTTAGAAATAAACTTTTAGCTGATTCTACAATCATGTTTTTAAAATTTGACATACAGTGTTTTCTTTCTGGTCATAGTACATATTCATGTACCCTTCCTTTCAAGTTAGATTGTTAGTCTGCTTTTATAGGGAAAAAGTTACTGTTTTGATTATTATAGCTTTATAGTTATATTATGTATAATTATAGTTTTTAAAAAATCATTTGGGGCTGAGGAGATAGCTCAGTAGAATAAGCACTTGCCTGGCAAGCTCAGGGTCCTGAGTTCAATCCCTGGTTCCACAAAAAACAAAAACAAAAACAAAAAACCCTGTCCTTGTGTTTGCCTAAGCAGGTGCTTAGTCCGTTGAGCTGTCTCACCAATCCCTTACATACATTTTAGGGGCTGGGGAGGTGGCTCAGTAGAATAAGAGCTTGCCTGGCAAGCACAAGGGCCTGAGTTCAATCCTCAGTTATGCCTAAATAAATAAACAAACAAACAAATTATTTGGGTTATGCTAGGTAGGACCTTGTAGCACCATATACATTTTGAGACTAGCTTATTATTTATTTATTTATTTTTTTTTTTTTGGTCTTTTTGAGACAGGGTCTCACTATGCAGTACAGGCTGGAATTGAACTCACTTTGTAGCCCAGGCTGGTCTCGAACTCACAACTATCCTCCTGCTTCAGCCTCCTGAGTGCTGGGACTACAGGTGTGCACCACCACACTCAGCCTCCAGCTTATAAATTTCTACAAAAACAGCTTGCTTGAATTTTTGTCAGAGCTCACACTGACATTAATTTGATTAACTTGAAGGAATCTTTCACCTTAAAATTAAATCTTTCAAACTACTAATATGACACATCTCCCCACTTATTTAGATTTTCTGTATTTTCTCTC